CAGGGATCAAAATTTCTATTTCGATTTCGTGTCCCTTCCACGCCGGGAGGATTGCTCGAGGAGTGCGCACTGCCAACGAAGTCATTGCTTTCAGGGGAGAGATTTCGCTTTCGATTTCGTGCCCCTTCCACCGGAAAGATCGCTGGAGCGCACCGCCTGCGAAGTCATCGCTTTCAGAGGAGAAAACTTTCGGTTTCGATTTCGAGTCCCATCAAGCAATTTTTATATTCGTATCCCAACCTTTTCTCGCCGACAGCCTAGCATCTCTGCCTCTATCGGGCACAATTGTGGCATTTTGTCCAACCCACCGGGAAGATTGCTCGAGTGCCACGGAAGTCTGCTTCATGATGAGCCATGCTCTCAATTGCAAAATATTCCTCACCAACACAGGAGCCCTATGATTTCCTAAATATATCATCAAACCCTTGACATTGCATTCAGCCGTCTGCGAAGCGGCGGACCGCAGGGCCAGCCGCGTAGCCCTTGTACGCATATGCGGTAATCCCGCGTGAAGCATTCTACAGGAATTCGATCCAAACAGCAATAGGCTGGAGACCGCTGCACCTCTCCTGCGGACTACTGCTGCAGACTTTTATAGTCCAGGCGTCGAGGCCATGGGGACGGAAGTTTGGATTCTATTGATTAGACACAACAACCGAGTTATCGCTGGACCATTATCACTTCTTCTGACAAAGCACCAAAGGGAGTTAGACCACAAGCCAGACAGAGGTGCCGAAATGGTACAACACCACAGCAGTACTGCACACTGGTACTGTCTCCGTGGTACATGAGTAACAGAACAGCAGTGCTGCTGTGTCAAACGGAAGGGGGGATAACTTTCAACTCCCGGAGCTACAGCAATATCTCGCATACAGGTGCCGAAGAGAGACTCACCACAAACGGTAACTATCTGCTCCTGATCAGCAGGCGTAGAAGAGGAGGAAGGATCCGCCGACGTCGCCGCAGTAGCATCTACCATGCCACCGCCGCTGTTCCTCCTACGGGTGTGTCGCCTGACAGACGACACCGCCGACGAAATTGAAGTTGCTCGTCCAGCGGAGCATGATGCTGCTCTGGTGCCTCGGCTGGCGGTGTGCATTTTAGCCTGCGACAGGGCAGCGCCTCCGCTATTTCTAACGACCGCAGCGCTGAACACAGACGCGCACAGCAGGAGGCGCATGGCTTGCTCTCTTGCCCGTAGGCCTGCAGGCATCGTGCGCGGGGGGGTACTTGTACATCATCTCGGCGCAATACCAGACCTCGCGCGCGGGGGGATGTGGGAGGGCTGTCCCCAATTATAGGTAGAAGGCCTCCTCCGGTTTTCACTTATGCGTATGCATTTGATGAACCATCTATCAATTGCGGAGTAACATTTCGATACTGGTACTGCACCAACCAATTCTGTTTTCCCATATAAAAAAAATGTCAACTGCTGTCAACCGCCAACTCATCAAGCGGCGGCCCGCGTGTGTGAAAACAACAGGCTTGCAATTAGCGCGCCCTAGTTGCTTGCGTCACATGATATTTTCGGCAGCGTGTAGCAGTGCGGGGAGGGGACAGCCACTCATTTCTCTCTCTCTCTCTGTGTCCAAGGGTAGCGAGGGTGTGTGTGGTGCGGCTCCGAGGTCTTCGTCGTGTGTGTGTTTTGTTCTCTTTCTGTGTTCTCTCCCCCTGCGTTGGTGGGCAGGGGCAAAAAAGAGGGCCAGCGAAATATACCTCATCACAGCTCGCTCCATTGCGACGAGGGAGGACCGTGGTCCGAACCGGACCCCTAACGGCTCTCCGGGATCTGTCTGACTGCTGCTGCTGTGCTTTCTGTCTTCCCCCGTCGTGGCGGGAGGGGGGGGCAGCGCGGCGCGAGCCCGCGGGGACATGCAGAGGGCACTGGGCTTGGTGGCGCCGGGGCACCAGCAGCAGCACTTTTCGCTCTATTTCCTCCTGCGTCTGCTGTTTGCGGCTGTCTGCGGCGCCGAGGCGAGCACGGCCGGGGCCTCTCGGAAAGCGGCAAGCAGCAGCCATGGCGGCAGGACCGCGAGATGGACCGCATGGCCTGTCGTAGAAGCAGCAGCAGACGGTGGGAGAAGATGTGCAGCGGTGTGCGGGGAAGCAGGGAGGAGAAGAGGGGAGGGAGGCCATGGCGGTGGCATTCAAAGGCCGGGGGAGGAGGAGCAAGAGTGTGGGGTGGACCTCGAGTTCTCTGGGTTTGGGGAGCATGCGAGAGTGCTCGGGGTGGAGCTGGATGTGGGGTTCGGTGCTATCATCCCGTCGGAGACCCTGCGAGTCTACGGCTTGGACAAGGGAGTAGAGTTCGACTTCCACGTCTACCAGCAGCGGCGGTGAGTGGGAAAGCCCTCCGGGAGAGATCAATCTCTTAACAACAGGCAACAAGCGAGAGAGGAAGATATCCTATGCAGTGCAGGATGGCCCAATTGTATTTAACCGGTTAATTGCCGTCCTGTGCTTACTGACGTGTTTTTTGTTTTGTCTGAATCCTACTCCAAAATCACCTGGGCAATGTTGTAGTAGGGTTTCTCCTACTACTGTAGCTCCCATGATAGTGCACTATGTCCGCTGCATGCGCACTGCGTGTTCATCGAGGCGCGGACGAGGAGTAGTATCGTATCGCTCGCTGTACAGCGGAAAGACTAAAGATTAAGATTCTGAGAATCAAATGTGTGTGTCGTCCCTGAGATGACTTGCTGGTGAAGAAAGTCTTGTGTCGATTCTGGTACTACTCTTTTTCTTCTTGGATGCATGTTGTGATCGGCCGTGTGTTTCCTTGAGACAGAGCGCGACCCGTTTCGCAAATGTACCCGACCACCAACAGTAGATTATTATTGCGATAACTCTCTCAGACCCCCCGACGTGCCGATAAGGTGTGTCTGGTTGTGTGAGCGAAGTGTTGGCCGTGCTTGCCTTCTATTCGTGAGTTGTTTAGTCTATGCATATTGCTGGGGTTTGTCACACACGCTCACTTTTCAGAACCCGTCAAGACGTTGGTTGTCCGTTTTCCCACCCAGCAGCGTTGTCCAACATATATATATATATATATATCCTCAAAGAGCAAGCTCTCCTGCGATAAAATATAAATTTGCCGGGTGTATGCATATGATGATGTTTGCAACCTCACGCGCGCTTTATTGCTTGGTGCTGATGAAGGGTTTGTTTTTGCTGTCTCTTGGGCAACGCAAAACCTGAAACTGCGAGGGAGGGCTGTGTGATGTGTTTTCCGGGCTGTTCTCTCGCCGCTTGGGTCATGTGACGTGATGTGAGAACTGTCACTTTCCGCCACGCCGTTGTTTACCGGCGTACGTGTACCGGAAGAGGGCCTCCACGCGCGTGCATGTAGATCATTATTCTGCGGTGCGTACAATACTCGATAGGGCACACGTGCACGCCCGATAATTTTTGTTCGATGTCCACGAGTCGTAACTCTTTTTTCTATTTGATCTGCAAGGTTAAACTGAACAGATCGATCCGAAGACGAGTCTTTGACCAAGATCGTTGGCTTGCGGGAATTGTGTGTGTGTGTGGTGGGTCTGGCATACAATTGGTACGGCACGTGGTGCCATGTTCCACGATGCGCTTCGCGTACATAGAACTGGTGCTATTTGTACATGAATCTGTAGGCGAGATGGGTCGTGGTAGTGGCGTCCGTAAATTGCCGGTAGGCATGTCGCTGGCATGCGCAGAGGTGATGTGTTTTTGCAACAATGATGACGTCCGTATGTTCACCCTTTCGTATGCATTGTAGTCTAGTATACCCATATGAATGATGATCGCATCCGACACCTTCAAAACGCGTGCATGTTTCGACCCCCTTGTCATTTGGATCATCTCTTGTCCCATCTCCCGTGTTTGGTACAATAGGGTGCACGAGGTGATGCGGGTACATCTTGTCCGTTGTTGTTGTTGTTGTTGTTGTTGTTGTTGTTGTTGTCGTCGTCGTCTTTACGCTAGAAACCTAATATTGGAAAGTACGCGTACAATCATCGAAGAAAGGCTACCCCCTCTACATACTGCTGATATACCACAGCAGTCGAGGGGATGTATTGGAGTCTTTGCAGTTCATGGGCTGGGAGAACCGGCTGGATACTGATGCGTATTCAGCACCTAGTTTTGGGTGAATCAATCAACGCAGTCCTGACTTGTTCGAGTCAATTTGTTCACGTATCGGCGGTTGCTGCGCGGCACACGCATGTTGTAGTGTAGTCTGAATCCCCAACAACGGGATGGGAACGTGCAACTGGTAACATGCCTTCCGTTAGACACCAAGCCGGGATTAATGTTTGGAAGCATCTATCTGTTCTTTGTTGCTTGAAGAGCCGCGTTCTACGACAATGTTGGAACAACAACGACACTCTTGTTGCATTCGGTAAACGTGAAGAGCAGGAAGCCCTTCCAGTGTTTCAAACCCCAACCCCCTGATCTGTGCGTCGGGTGCGTGCACGTTTCCTTGCCAACGACGTTCGGAAACGCCACCACACCTTTGTACCTGCCTCCCCTCCCGAGCGAGCTCGAAAACTCTACTCCCTGAACGGCTTGAACTACGAGCTTGTTCTATTCCGGCGTGCCGGCCGTGCTGGCCTTGTCTAACATTTCCTGCTGCTGTCTCGTCGTTGTACCACCGCAAACGCCCCAATTGAAGGACCGGCGACGGATCCCCCCGATCGATGGTGCTCGATAATGACGGCACCCACACCGTGTCGATCCGGATCGAGGATACGGAAGAAGCCCACCGGCGTCGAGACTCGATCACCTTCCGCCTCGAGGCGTGCGGGGTCGGCCCCAGCAGCGTCATGGGAAGAGGGGCCTCGGTTTTCGTCATCGAACCGGGAGGCGTTTCGAGCGGCGCGGCGGCGCCGGCGCCGGCGCCCGGGCGGGGGGGTACCCTTCGGCACATGTTTGGCGTCCTGCCGACTTACCTGGCGGGAAGGAGGTTGTCGGGGAGGGGCCCGGAGCAGCTGTGGTGGCAGCTGCAATCGCTCGGAGCGGCAGCGGCGGCTACCCGCCGGGGGCTAAGGAGCGGCGCGGTGGGGGACCAGGGGGTCGGCAGCAGACGGGCAGAAGCTGCGGAGAGAGCGTTGGAGCCGGCGGCGTCGGCTGCGCTGTCGTACACGGACGGGGGCGTCGACGCCTCCGCCACCGCCGCCGCCGCCGAAGCAAACGCCGACGAGTTGGGCGACATTGCGTCACTGGCGGCGGTGGCGGCATCGCGGGCGGCGGCGAGGAGGCGTAAGCTGCAGCTCGAGGACTGCAGCGCAGACTGCCTCACGTCCGAGACCGAGCGGTGCCAGAACAACGAGATGTGCGAGACGGGGGGGATCGGGTGCAACGCGCAGGACGACCCGCTGTGCCAGTTCTGCGACCTGGGGGCCCCGTACGTCGAGTGCGACGAGGAGCGCCCCACGGAGGCGCCGGCCCCGTCCCCGGCGCCCACGCTGGACCCGGACTACGTCGAGTGCTCCTCCCGATGCCTGGAGTCGGAGGACTTCCCTTGCTTCGACGACCCCTCTTGCCCGCGCGACGGCAACGGGATCGGGTGCAACGCCACCGGTGACTTCTACTGCCGGTTCTGCGGGTTCCTTGAAGAGTTCGTGGACTGCCCGGACGTGACACCCGGTGCGTGCGTTTCGTGGGAAAGGTTTCGGTTGCGTTCTTGTTGTTTTGGGGAAGGGGAATAGACAACAAGTGGGTTACCTTGTACACCCCTTTCTCAGACAAAAGTGAGTGTTCGGAAAAACTATTTGCGGAGACCACTCGTGACAGGGCACAAGCACTCAAAATATGATTCCGATGCGTGTAGAACATGGGCAGGGCCCATGCACAGCATGAACAAAAGCTTTTATGGACTTTCGAGCACGTCTTCACCCTACACACCGCCGCAGCAATCAAGACGTCAACAGGTTGCCCGATTTGTCCGAATTTCCGGTGGGTATTCCCTCCGAAATATAATTGACGTCTATTTTTCATGTACCCACCTTTGTCTTTTGTGTGACCCACCTTTATCCGAAATGTGTGTCCGATTTTTTCGTTCGAAAATCGACCTCCACATCACCTCACGGGGGAAATTTTCAAATGAAAAAATCGGACACAAGTGGCTCACACCGTAGACAAAGGTGGGTACATGAAAAATGTGCTTCCATTATAGTTCGGAGGGAATACCCACCGGAAGGTCGGACAAAATCGGGCAACCTGTTGAGGCCTTGTGCGCCGCGGCGGTGTGTAGGGTGAAGACGTACCCGAAAGCCCGTGAAAGCTGATGTTCATGCTGTGCATGGGCCATGTTTTCCATGCATCGGAATGATCCCTCGAGTGGTCGCGAGTACCCACTTTTGTCTGAGAAAGAGGTGGGTATCCCCACTTTTGTCTGTTTACCTTGCCCTTTTGCATACGCACATCCACCGTGTGCCGTCGAACAACCTGTCTGAGGGGGGGGGGGGGGGGGG